TTTCCCTAGGGAAACAGCAGAAAAGTAGCAATTTAAACAACCACACAGCTCAAGTACTGGTTCCCACAGGAAGTTCCCCTCTGTTAGAAGCAAAGGACAAAAAATTAGTTCCGGCCCAGGCACACCACCAGCACCTTGGGGCTTGCCTGGGAACTGGAGGCTTGGATCTGGGGACCGGACCCCACTCCCACTTCCAGGCAAACTGCACCAGTGCGTCAGGGCCAGCCTGGGGACCTGAAGCATGGAGAAGAGGACCTGACCTCTCTCCCACAACCAGGCACACCCAGCCAGCACCTTGGGCCCTGCCCAGCGACCCAGGTTATGAAGAAGGGGACCGGACCTCTCTCCCACAATGAGGCACATTGAACCAGCGCCTTGGGGCCCACTCAGGGACCCAGGGTATGGAGTCGGGGACCAGACCACCCTCCCACAACCAGGCACAACACGCCAGCACCTCGGAGCCCACCCAGGAACCTGAGGCATGGAAAAGGAGACTGGACCACCCTCCCACAACCAGGCACACCAAGCCAGTGCCTCGGGGCCCACCCATGATCCTGGGGCATGGAGAAGGGGACTGGACCACCCTCTCACAGAGAGGCACACCACGCCAGCACCTTGGGGCCTGCCCAGGGACCTGAGGCAAGGAGAAGGGGAATGGACCTCTCTCCCACAACCAGGCATGCTGAGCCAGTGCTTCAGGGCCCATCTGGGGACCTGAGGCATGGAGAAGGGGACTAGACCTCTCTCCCACAACCTGGCACACCACACCAGCACCTTGGGCCCTGCCCAGGGACCCAGGGCATGGAGAAGGGAACTGGACCACACTTCCACAACCAGGCCTACTGAGCCAGTGCTTCAGGGCCCACCTGGGGACCTGAGGCATGGAGAAGGGGACTGGACCCCTCTCCCACAACCAGGCACACTGAGCCAGCACCTCGGGGCCCACTCAGAGATCCAGGGTATGGAGTTGGGGACTGGACCTCTCTCCCACAACCAGGCACACCCAGCCAGCACATCGGGGCCCACCTACAGTCCCAGGGCATGGAGAAGGGGAATGGACCACCCTCTCACACCCAGGCGCACCATGCTAGCACCTTGGGGCCTGCCCAAGGACCCGGGGCAAGGAGAAGGGGAATGGACCTCTCTCACACAACCAGGCACACTGTGCCTGTACCTCAGGGCCCACCCAGGGACCTGGGACATGGAGAAGGGGACTGGACCCCTCTCCCACAACCATGCACATGGCACCAGTGCCTTGGGCTCCACCCAGGGACCAGAGGCATGGAGAAGGGGACCAAACACACTCCACAACCAGGCATACCGCCAGTGCCAAGGAGCATGCCAAAAACAGCACCCCCACATGGGTGGCCCACCACAGCCACCACAATAACCATAGCTGCTGCAAAAGTGGCTATACGGCACAGCCACTATGCAGATGGTCTGCCAACCGCTGGAGTGTATTCACACAAGAAGTGTCACCAGCAGAGACAAAGAAAAGAAGAGGATGTCTCTTTCCACAAAACCCATTACAGAGTGACAGAAGAAGCATCTGCTCTATGATAATATTGGGGAACCTGATCACATCTCTCATCATTGTACAGATCATCTAGGCAACAAGTTAACAGAGTAACCATTATTCTTTCAGAAGGAGAGAAGAAATCTACGGCAATTAGAGGGGTAAGGGAAAGGGTTGGGGGAAGGGGAGAGGTTGGACAAGGGGCATAAAAAATAATTACAATTTTTGGGGCCGGCCCGGTGGTGCACTGCTACAGTGCGCCACTTGGGAAGCGTGGTGGCGCTCCCGCCGAGGGTTCAGATCCCACATACAGACCGGTTCCCGCTCACTGGCTGAGCGAGGTGTGGGAGCAACACCAAGGGTTGCGATCCCGTTGCCGGTCCCGGTCCGGTACGGGCGCAACACTGAGGGTTGCGATCCGTTGCGGGACACGAAAAAAGACAAAAAGGAAAATAAATAAATAAATAATAATAATAATAATAATAATTACAATTTTTAACAATATATATGCTAGTAATATTGATTTAATCAACTTATCTCAATGTTCAACCCCCAAAATATGCATAATTGATTTTGATTCAATAAATAATTTTTAAAAATAATAATAATAAATAAATAAATAAATTTATATATCATAAAAAAAGAAATCAATACAATAAACAAATTGTCAAGTTTAATGCTTGAAAAATAATAAGCACATTTTAAATACATTTGTATTCTTAAAAGAGTAAATAAAAAAAAAAAACCATGGGAGTGAGATTTTCCTATGGATACTTAAATAGATTGTAGCAGCAGAACATTAAAAGTATCATACTCAGTTATTTAAAATTATTGTTTTCTTTTTTAAATTTTTTATTAAGTGTGAGAAATGCCCTCACCCATCCAATGCCAAAGGATGGACATGGAGACATGAGGTATGGCGAAGCAAGACTTTAATGGCAGTCTTGCAAGATCAGGTGTCTGATGGGCAGGCACTGCTGAAACAGTTACATCGAGCAATTTATTCCCTAGTGTGCAAGTCCCTCTCCCAGTTCCTCATTGGCTGAGTACTATGGGGTGTACAATCTTCCTGAACATCGCCTAAGTTTCATTGTTTCCTTATAAGGTATTTATTGTTCACTTTCTGCTGACAGAAAGGAATGGACTCGAGATGAGACCACAAAAAAGGCCCACCGAAAAGTCCCAAGCAGGGAAAATAACCAGGAAATGAAAAGAACAAAGGGCTGGTGACCAACCACCATCTTGAGAAGTTATTTCTCAAAGGTGATGTGCTGTTTCAGTGACTTTCCAGGAATGTGAATTCTCTGTGGTTGTCATACCTATATGCTCATTAAGCAGCTTTTGTAAGGCTATTTTTGAAAATGAATCACTTAAGCTATTTTCTTAGATTAAGGTACAATTTACCTTAAAGTAAAATTTGCCTTTTTCAGTATGCAGTTATACAGTTTTGACAAATTATGTGATCATGGAA